GGTGCATTTTGTATCTATGTGGGAGAGTATCATCTCTGTAATAAGAAATTGTGTAAAACAGTTCTCATTGTCCAGCAGAAAGCACATTTCTCTTTAGCCTAGGCAAGCAACAGGTTTGTGCAACACCAGTTCAACAAAGGATTTCTTTTGTGTGCATTTTTGCATTGGTTGGATTGATTTCAGCAACCCAAACATTTTCTTCTTGAGACTGTGCTGAAGAGACTCAAAAAAAGGACATAGACTTTACACTTTATGTTGTGAGCCGCCCCGAGGCTTCGATGAATGGGGCAGCATAGAAATGTTTTCATAAAATAAATAAATAAATAAATAAATAAATATAAGTTTTTGTAAAATCAGGCAATCGAATTGTCATATTCCCAAAATTGCTTGGCTAAGAGATAGACAAATCTCAGACTGGATTGCATTTACACTGCACACATAGAATTCAATCTCAGCTTTTTTGTTCACTGTTGTTCTGTTGGTTCCTTTCCATTGTTGAAATGGGTTTGCAAAGTTCAGTCTAGTCTTCCATGTCCCTTTCCATTTTTGACTCATTTGTTGAAAATTGATGTTAACAATCCCTCTTTTGCATTGCAGAGAAGCAGCTGTGTATGTGAAAAGAGGAGATAACAGAATAGGCCGTGTTTACAAGAAGGCAATTTTCAGACAATTCACAGATGAAACATACTCTCGGGAAATTCCCAAACCATCTTGGCTGGGTTTTCTTGGTCCAGTGATGAGAGCTGAAGAAAAAGACACTTTTATCATTCATTTAAAGAACTTTGCTTCCCGGCCTTATTCTGTCCATCCACATGGAGCCTCCTATACAAAAGAGTCTGAAGGTAAAACAAAGAGCTCCTTTTCTCTGTTGCTATTTTAAATCCACATGACCACTGTTATCTTTAAGAGCCAGTGTTATGATAACGATTCTACAGCCAGCTGCTTTCCAGATGTTTTCGCCCTTGAAAGATCTTTAAGCCTTGGTCACTGGTGAGGGGTTTGCCATCCAAAATATGTGGAAGTCATACAGTTGCTTATCCTTGGGATAATCGGTTGGACTTGGACTGGGGAAACCTGGTTTCAACTTTTCCCCACATATCTGTGAGTGTAATGGAAACTAACAGGTCACAGCTAGAGAGGACTCAGATTATGATGTCTTTCTAGCTTCCTGTTTTATTCAGTGGCTGTCCAGACACTTCCTGAAGCCGACCACATCATTGCATTCTCTGGCTTTTGCTATACAACATACTGCCTCTGGAGGTTCCACAGAGTCATCAACATTGTACTTATTTATTCTATTTATATGCCACTCCACTAGCCATAGGCTCTCTGGGCAGCTTACATCATATTAAAATCCAGAAACGGACTCCATGACTAATATCCATAATATCTCTGCAGCAGCATCTGCAGACTGTGGAGGCCATCCCTCTCCTGTGAACGGCAGGTGTTGCTCTGGTTGCAGAAGGATGATTGCGTTCATGGCTGGCATATACAAGTGAGCTGTGCAGTGTTTCAGTGTGGAGCACCCCTGTTCATTGTCCCAGTGAGCAAGCCATCCCCTCTTCCAAGAAACTCCATTCCATTTCCTTTCCCTCTCACTTTCCTTTTCCCATTCCAGAACCATCAGCATTCCTCAGACATGGCGCATACTCAGTCCTTACTGGACTGTTTTGGGAGGGTTCCCCTCTTCATTCCCCCTGCTCTAGCAAGCTTCCACACAAGGTTTTCCTTGTGCAACCACACTGCTTCATTGACGTAATGTTGGGAATGCTGACATTGTTGTCTTCAAGTTTGAGATACTCCAAGCTTTCTCTCCACGTCCTCCATCCTTTTTCTTATCACAAAAGAGAAAGTGAAACGGCTGTACCACACCTCATAATTAGTAGTGTTAGAAGTTCTCCATTTGGAAGCATTTAAATTTATTTAATTATTTATTTATAACATTTTAAAGCCTTCTTTTCAGCTGAAAAGAGCTCACAGGGTGGCTTACAAAGATTGATAATAAAATACTTCCCGGACTTGGGCTTACAAACTAAAAGACACAACAGAAAACAGCTTGGGAGGAAGAGGGACACTAATTCTTTGTTATAATGCTCATGCAAGGCTTCTGTTTGGGCCAGTGGATAGGACCAGTAGAGTTCCCCCTTGCCACAGGATTCCGCCTGAGAGCTTCTACTGGGCCCTGGGCCATGCCCTGGATCAGGCTAGCATGTCCTGCCATTCAGCTCAGTACTCCCAGGGCTTTTTACTCATGAAAACTTTGGGAGTCTCCCACCCCTGCTGATATCACAGAATCATAGAACAGTAGAGTTGGAAGGTGCCATGAAGGCCATGGGGTCTAACTCCTTGCTGTTGCAGGACATATACTTCTTGTGCATGGGTCATACTCTTTTGGCTAGAGAAGATCCACACACCTGTGAACTTTGGAAACAGAGGGAAATATATTAGGATTTTAAAGACCTACCCCACAGGGTTGTTGTGAGGATAAAATAACTTGACAGAAGAGGAGGTTATGTAAGCTGCTGTGGGTACCTTGTGGAAGAGAGCTGAGATAAAAATATAATCGGTCAATAGATCAGATGGATTTTTAGTCTTAAAACTGTCTTCTTACCTTCTCTGCACCAGGAGCTCTCTACCGTGATGGAACAGGGGGCAAAAGCAAAGAAGATGATTTTGTTCTTCCGGGTACCAGTTATACATACACCTGGCCAGTTTCTGATGAGTTTGCACCTACTTCATCTGATCCACAGTGCCTGACTTGGATTTATCATTCGCACATCGACACACCGAAAGATATCAACTCTGGGTTAATTGGGCCTCTGCTGGTTTGTAAGAAAGGTACAGGGCTTAGAATCCTGAAAGCCGTTCTGGTGGTGAAGGTTGGCTTGTTGGGCCACAAGATGGCAGGTCTGCTTGAAAGAATTGGCATGCATGGGGATATTCAGGGCAGGAGCTTAAGAAACAAACAGGCTCATAGGGGAGAATACAGCCTTTTGGATAGCCTGGATCCAAGCCATACAGGGCTTTGCAGGTCATCTCCAGCACTCTGCACTGTGCCCGGAAACCGCCTGGGAGCCAGCGGAGCTGCGTCAGCAAAGGAGCTGTGTGCTTCCTGCCGCACTCTAGCAGCAGCTGTCTGAACCAGTTGGAGATTTCAAGCACTCCTACTTTCCAGGCAGGAATTATTACACTCTGTACTGGTTCCAAACAAATTTACTTTGAGAATATGGATTAAAACGATTCCATGGTTCGTTTTCTTAGGATCGTTAGACAATACTTCAGTGTCTGTGGATGGCTACCCAAAAGGCTTTGCCCTGATGTTCAGCGTTATAGATGAAAATCTCAGCTGGTATTTGGAGGAGAATGTCAACACCTTCTGCTCAGATCCCAGCACCGTTGATAAAGAGGACGAAGATTTCCAGCTTAGCAATAAGATGCACGGTGAGTTGATGCCATCAAGATACAACACTTGTTTTGCAGCCATAACTGGATGTTTGGGTTGGGCCTCTAGCTGCTCCTCATTTATTTATTTTCTATTCCACCCAACAGCCAAAGCTGTCTGGCTGGATCACAGCAGCACATTTAAAAGAACAATATACATATACCATTAAAATGCATTAACACATTTTAATAGTTAATAATACAAAATTTAAAACCAAATTTACAACAAAAAAGAGAGAAAAACCCTGGTAAACCCAGTCCAGCAGTTAGCAGGCCCCAGTAACTAATTAAATGCCCTGCAATAGAGGACAGTCTTTACCTGGCGCTGAAAAGATTGCAAAGTTGGCACCAGATAGTCTCAGTAGGAAGCTCATTCCAGAAAAGGACCTTCTCCTTGATGCCACCATCCAAGCTTCCCTTGGATATGGCAGTCTGAAGTAGCCCCTGCAACTTGATTGTAGTGTCCAGGTAAATGAAGGTTGGGAGAGGCATCGTGGTCCAAAGCCATGTATGGCTTTATTGTCAAAATCAGCACCTATCCATCTCTTAATCTGAAAACTTCACAAACAGCTCAGCATATATTGCTCGGGCAAATTGCTTAACTCCATGCCCTCTCAGTATCTCCAGCGAAAGAGCGATGCTAGAAAACTGTGGTGGTCAGGAGCTACTTGTGCCTCTAGGGCTCGACCGTCAGGCCAAAATCAGGGGAGCCCAGATGACCCCCTGGACGTGGCAGGTAATGATGGCCTCAGAAATGACATTTTATTCCTGTCCCCATGCTATGATTTAAGCGAGCTTAATGTGCAAAACTGTACATGTTCACAGCATTTTTAATATCAGAGCTTGCAGTTTTGCTATTGTTCTAACTAATGTGGGAGTAGTTGTAAAGGAATGTAGAAGCAGTTATAAAGAATAGAATGGTGGTGGTGATGAGGTGTGGGGAGAAGAGATATTTTTGTTGTGTCTCAGCCCCTACTCTGCCATAAGATCATTTAGTCCAGGGTCCAAAATTGCCTCGGCGCACCGCTCTGTGGGAGCCTTTTCTGCGGTTGCTGTACATCACATCCCTGAACTGCATGCTGCAATTTCTCACTATGCAATTTAGTCTTTTGGGGTCTGGACTGACCCCAGCCACCAAGATTGGCTATTGGACCTTCCTGGACAGAACATTTCCTGATCCAGTTAAGCCTTGCTCGAACAATATCATACCGCCAACACATTCTTGTACCGTTTGGCCCTGATTGTCTAGGGGGAAGCTAGGCGTTACAGTCCGACTGGATTGGGAAAAGCTTTTGTAACTGAGTGTCATTTTTTCCTCATTCTATTACATGTTCACAGCAATTAATGGCTATATTTTTGGAAACCTGCCTGGCCTGGAGATGTGTGCCGGGGAAGTGGTGTCATGGTATTTATCTGGGATGGGAACTGAGATCGACATGCATTCTGTGCAGTTCTTTGCTCACACCTTCCTTAACAGAGGTCACAGAGCAGATGTGGTCAGCCTCTTTCCAGCCACCTTCATCACGGCAGACATGACTGCAGAGAACGTTGGGAAGTGGCTTTTGGCCTGCCAGGTCAATGATCACATTCAAGGTATGTGGAGACACAAAAGACGCTTATATACCATTCAGGAAACAGCAAGACAATAAATATTCAGTGTAGCAGTTAGGCCATACCAAGCAATAGCAAAAGCAACATTACAGCAATATCAGGGTGCCTTGCAGAGTACAAGGCAGCAGCTCTCTGCCCCAAGGAGTTTACAATGAGAACTTTGACACAGAGAGACAGGAAGGGATGGAAAGGAGAGACAGAGGCAAACAGGGAAGCAAGATCACCTCCTTCAGTTGCACATGCTGCCGTGTCCTTCCAGAGGCAGGACTCCTGATATTGCCACTCAAGTTGCGTTGCGTTGATTCCATCTTTTCCTTCTTAACAAGTTTCTTGGTGTTGAGAGGACAGATGGGTGGTTACAGATGAAGGATAGTGACATCTCACCCTCTTGGGAGAATCCCATGTCTGAGGCAGGGCAATTGCAGGATTAAAAGTCTCATCTAGAAATACAGGCTGAGCTACAGTTGGGCAGGCAGCTGAATCGGGGGCCAAATTCAGCACAGCTGGGCTCCCAAACTGGCAGGCTGGTGCTCACACAGACCTACACCCCTGCCCCCAATCCAGCGCCCTTTCTCCCTACCAATCATTTGGGGCTTCCCAGTTTTTGCAGTATCCCCCCTCTTTAAATGATCAAAATGCCTTTCCTTTCAGGCTTAAAACGGTTTAAGATAAGTATGCTGGAATTTTGGCGTACCCCTTATGACTTTGGCCTCATCCAGCATGGGAATGTGGACTTGGCTGAAACTAAATTGAGCCCGTGGTTTGGAAGAGGGTCTGAACCCCTGCAGTGTGAATGGGAACAAACAGAAGGAGGCTGGAGACCCCTTACTCTGGGCAGTGCTGGGGACACCTTCTTTAGCAGTTCTCCTTAGCATATGAATATGAACTGAAACGGAAAGCTGGAGTGCTTGTTAGCACAAGTCACATGACCTTGATGCATTTGGGAGCCGTGTAGGAACCACAGAGTTAGTCGAATTGGAATTGGTTGTGTGGTGAGACCGGCAGAGATTAAATGCTTCTTGTGTGTGCTTTCTGAACTGCAGCTGGTATGATGGGGCTCTACAGCATTAATGCCTGTGGTCAAAATATTATGAAGCCTTCACAGAGCGGTCAGGAGAGAAGATACTTTATTGCTGCTGAAAGAATCCTGTGGGATTATGGACCTGGTGGCATCAATAAATTCACCGGGCAAGCTTTAAATGCGACTGGCAGGTCAGCGTTCCGATACGTTTATTCTGTTTTCCCTGGTTTTCTTTGAACTAAGACCTGAAATACTCATTAGCACATGAGATGTGACATGGATGTAGCTTGAAGCATGAGCTGTTGAGTGAGGGACTTTATGATGTTTCTTCTTCTTTTGTCACATTGGCTTTCCTTTCTTCCGGAGAGAAGCACTGGGCAGCAGCGGTGGTAGCCACAGAACAAAGATCTCCACGTGATTATTAAAATTCCAGGTTTGAATCACTGCTTAGATGCAAACTCAAAAGCCACTTTTTCACAGCCTCAGCCCCCAATCATAAGTATCAGGACTGACCTACCACAAGCAAATGAGAGATGCTTGACTCCCCGAAGAAGCCGCAGGCTCTAGCCCACAAGAGCTGAGCAGGGCTGTCACTGGCACAGCATCTAGGGGGGCACTCATTCATTCCTAGCGTCACCCTAAGTTGGAGGCAATTTGATGACACATCACATGTGGTGGGGAACATCATGCATTCATGCATTTTGAAGCATGATGCCTACAGGAAAAAGAAGGGACAACCTTTCCTCATGGTGGCGGTCTCACAGCCTAATTACAACTCAGAGATATTTTTGCGTGAGAGACACTGTTTAGGTGGCAGTGTCTCTTTCTCTCTCTGTGAACGTGCATAAGACATGTGAATGTGTGTATCAGTTAAAGAACAAGAGAGTGTGGAGGCATGTGGCCTGAACATGGTCTTCAGACTATGAAAACTACTTAACCTGTGATCCACATCAGGTTTTGCTGTTGGCATTATTTTTACAGCCACATGGGGTAATGAATAGAGTTTGATTTTGCTATAAGGAAAGACTAAAATCCCCAATTAGCTACAATGTTTACTAGGGTGAAACTTGATTATGGAAGAGGCATCTGGCTGCAAACAGAAACCAGTCCCCACCTCCTTCTCTCTCCACTGTTATTTATTAGAGAAATCAATTCCTGAATGCACATCATCATCATGGACCTCTCAGTGGAGGAGAGAAAAGGCTGTTGCTTTTAAAAGCAGCAGCATGGCCTGCCCCATTTCATTACTTCTTCCCGAGGTGACCTCAGGCTCCTATTCAAACTAAACTCCCATAAACCACTGTGTCATTGGGAGGCTAAAAGTGCAGCCGGGAGCTTCTGAGAAGGAAAGTGGGATGCACATAACATTATTTTTCATGTCGTGTCTGTTGCAATTTTTGATATTTTGCTTTAAACGGAGCATTGCTTTAAATGGATATTTTGACATTTTGCTTTAAATGGAGCATTGCTGATCCATGGCCAACTTTCTAACTGGTATCAATGCTTTGTGCTCTCACAGTGAGTCGGCACCTTTCTTTACGCAAGGGGATGAACGAATTGGAGGGCAGTATTGGAAAGTTCACTATGTGTCCTATACTGATGGAAAGTTTGCCCGAAGGAAGGAGCAACCTGAAGCTGCTGCCCACCTTGGCCTACTTGGTAGGGTTGATCGTTTCAGATCTTGAATCCTTTTGTGGCACTGGTTCCAGTCACAATATGCATGCAATGGAAGTTTGGTCTTGGTTTGAGAGCCCTACATCACCTGGGCAATGGCCGGTCGTCGTGAAACTCTGGCCTAGCTTACAAAGACTGTACACTAAACCTATATCTGGGTTGCACCATGTTACTGCTGTACACACACACATGATTTTGTGTGTCCTTCTTATATTTGGTTTCTGTGCACAAGAGAGCTTTCAATCATGGGACACTCTCTGCTCCTAGTCTGAAGTGGTATCAATAGCCACAGTTTTACCACTGAGATGTAGCCCAGAATCTGTTGAACAGGTGCATTCGCTGTTGATTAAGGAGAAAAATAGAAAAATATTTGTGGACTCCAGAGCCCTGGCTGCATGGGGTGGGGGAAGTGAGCCAGCCCCCAAGGTGGCATGGATTTCGTACATGGAGGGGGGGGAGAGATTTCACCCCCTCAGAGAAAGCTATGTACTTTCCCTGAACATTTCATCCAAGTGTATCAAGAATTAAAAAGCTCATTGTTGATATCCCTGTTACAGTCAATGAAGAAATTCTCCAAGGCTGTAGAACAGGGTAGCCCCTCCAGAAGTTTTGGCCTTCAGCTCCCATCAGTCCTTGTTAGCATACCCAATGGTAAGGGATGATGGGAGTTGGAGGGTCACGAGTTGCCCACTCCTTCTCTAGAGAATGGACTGAGGTTAGGCTCCACCTTGGATCCATTTTTTAAAATATTTATTTATTTAAAACTTTTGTATACCATCCCATCACAGACATCTCAGGACCGTTCACAACAACATCAATAAAATAGAATAAAAATAGAAGTAAGAGTTAGCACAGCATCAGTATTAGGTATAAAACCACAGATTAAAACAAGTTAGCAATTAAAATAGTGGGAGAATAAAAGGGATTTTGCCTGGCACTGAAAGGAAAGAACTGTTGGCGCCAGGCAAACCTTTCTGGGAGCGCGTTCCACAGTTGGGGTGCCACCACAGAGAAGGCCCTCCTCCGGGTAGCCACCCTCCTAATCTCTTTCCAGGATGGCTCCCGGGAGGGCCTCTGACTCAGATCTCACGGGGCACATAGGGGAGAGGGCACTAAGCCAAAGCAGTTTGGTGCCTCAAGTTCCAAGTCACCGGTGGCAGTTCTAAGTGAATATTTTCTCTGTGCACAACCTAAAACAAAACCCAACACTGACTGCGCACAGACTTACAGTCTAGAACAGGGGTGGACAACTATGGGATATACCAGGGCCATTTAAAAAAAAACAACTGAATGCCATCTGTAGCAGCGATAGGGCATGAAAAGGGTCAACTTCATCATATTTGCAGGGTAATTTTGATGTGTTGAGCACTCTGTAGTAGCTGCAGATCCCTGAAGGAGTCCACATTTGTTGCAAACAAGCTCATGATGACCTTCCTGGTGCTCTGTAGCATCTGCAGATGCAGTTTCTCCCTCTCCTTTTTTAACAGACCTTGTGGGTCAGTAGGACTGGCCAGGGGCTGCATCCAGGTTTAGTAAGAGACATGACACATCATGAACAGGGATGCAGAATGCAAAGGCTCAAACACACACAACATGTTGAGAAGGACAGAAGAAAAAGATGGTTTTTAAAACAGTTCTTGCAGGTGGGGAATGAAACAAATGTAAGTGGGGAGAATTTGCATGAGAATCTGAAAATGAAAGCCTGAAGGTGGAGATCTGGACTGAAAAGGAGACAGGCAATCATTTTTCAGGGTGCTGAGCACAATTCTGCAAGAGGGAGAGCTGCTCGTGGTGGGTACTCCGACCCCACCATTGGCTCAGGTAAACAAGTTCTAACTTCTGCAAAATACTGGGATAGGAGCAATGTGTGTACACAATATGGGAAGCAATGCCTTGCTCGGACCAAGAATGATTGTCTATTTCCAACCTGTACCTGTGCTTGCTGTTGCTGTAATCCTGTTAGATGATAAGTGGACTTAAACAGTACATGAATGAGAGTTCACCAGGGGCCTCTTGTAGTTCTTTCTTGCATGGAAAGACAAGCATCAATAAATGTATTCTCTGACAGGGAAGTAGAGAGAATTGTTTTGTTAATGCACAACTTTTCTCCCCAAATGACTCTTTTCTCACCTGTTTTTCAAGGCCCTGTTATCAAAGCTGAAGTTGGTGACACCCTTTGGGTGACATTTGCCAATAAAGCTGACAAGAACTACAGCATCATGCCCCATGGAGTAGCTTTCAGCAAAAGTTCAGAAGGAGCTCCTTATGCAGATGGTAAGTTGCAGTTGTGATGTCTCTCTGTCACATTTGTGTTCCTTGTATAATCCCTTATTTTTCTATCAATATGTTACCCAGAACTTTTTATACCAAGCAGTTCTTATGTGCTTTTGATTGCTTACTCATAGAAAGGGCAAAAGCAGCATTATATGATGAAGGGGGAAATGATGCTTTCTCCTTGTGTAATTGAGATATTCTGCTATAGGGCAGCACCACCTAGAAATTATGTTGCAGAAAAGCAAGAAAGGAAAAACTCTGATATAGAGCTCAGAAATTAATTATGTTGACATAACTAAACGCAAATATACTATATTTTTCGCTCTATAAGACGCACCTGACCATAAGACACACCTAGTTTTTAGAGGAGGGATCCATGGAAAGCTTCCTGATAATCACAGGCACATTCCCCATCACTTCCCCATGAGCTTCATTAAAAGACAGGTTGCCATTTGAAAATACACACCGACCTGTGATTAACAGCTCTCACCTGTGCCAGAGGAGGGGGCAGAGCAGGGCACGCCGAGCGCGTGCCAGCCAGGTGTGGTGTAGCCTGGCTGGCAGCGTGCCAGCGGTGGTCTTCCAGGCGGCACAGTGGCGGCAGGTCTTCCCAGGTGGTGGGGGTGAGCAGCCCGTCTCTCCGTGCGGCTGGCAGGTTAAAGCCCGCAGCTCCTCCTCCTCCGCACGCATCCCCCTGAGCGGCACAGGTCTCACCTGCGCTGGGGGGCGGGGTGGAGCACGTGCGCCGAGCACGTGCCGGCCAGGTGGTGCCACGTGGTGCAGGCGGGCCGGCAGCGTCCCAGGCGTTGGGCACACACACATTCGCTCTATAAGATGCACAGACATTTCCCCTTCCTTTTGAGGGGGGAAAAAGTGCGTCTTATAGAGCGAAAAATACGGTAGATATTAACACCTTTCTGCAGAAAATCCTCTCATCTGCATTTTTAGTGTTAGTTGCAGTTTCAATTTGGAGGATACTTTTCACCTCCCTTTTGTTTTAAGGGCATCAGAAGCCAGGAGCTCATGTTAAACCTGGTGGGACCTTTACCTACAAGTGGAGCGTTCCTGAAAGTGTTGGTCCAACAGACAGCGATCCGCCATGTCTCACCTACCTCTATTATTCAGCAACCGATCCAGTGGTGGATACCCAGTCTGGTCTTGTGGGACCTCTACTAGTCTGTAAGAAAGATGCTCTGAAACCTGATGGGACACAGGTGATGGATCCCTGAATTCTGAATGAATGAGAGCATATGTTGAACCAAGTGTTGATGTATGCAGATCTAGTTCTGAATTGAAATACATTGTGTGGGCCAACGAAAAATGAAAGGATGGCATAGTTGGACCAGAGCAAGTTCTGCTGGTCATCCATGCTTCGTTCTTTCTATTATTTTTTTACTTCTTAATATCCTAAAATCTCCAAATCATTCACAATATGTATTTAATAAAACCAAGGTAAAAACAATATAAAACTATAAAACTAAAAGCCATAGTGACAAGCAGTTAATGGATTTTAATAAAGTTACAAACCATCACAACAAGACATCTTAAAAATAGAGAAGTGTCATAATCCATTATAAGTTGTGGAAAGCCTGTGTAGGTAAATATGCCTTCAGTATGCTTCTTGAACAACATGTGGAAGGGTATTTCAGAGGTTGGGGGCCACTACCAAGAAGGCCTACTTGTGCGCTGCTACCTGGTGACACTCTATTGGCCAGAGAATGACCACTAAGGCCTTCCCAGAAGCTCTTAGGAATCATCTGGGTACATATAGGAGATACTTGGCTTCTCCAACAGTGGTCATCCTTGGAACATCACAAGGAACTCAGAAACAGATTGGCATAGACCCCTTTGCGGGGGAAATCTGAAGGGCAGGAAAAACAAATTTAAGATAGCCCAGTGAGGACGGAACATGTTTAGTGATATGAAATGCTGACATGAAATATATATGTGTGGGGGTGGGGTGGAATAGAATGGCCCTAATCCTGAAGAGCAGCTGCGCCCTGGAATTGCAACATCCCCCGTGCAATTTTATTGATGGAAGATTCCAGTCCAACAGTTCCTTTGTGATTCCCCTTTGTAAAGTACAAGCTGGCAATATTTTAGCTTGAATGCATTTTGTTTATGTTTTGTTCACAGAAGGGAGTAGATAAAGAATTCTATCTGCTCTTTACAATCTTTGATGAGAATCTGAGTTTCTATCTGGACACAAACATAGATGCATTTACTGGCAATCCCCCAAAAGTTAATAAGGAAGATGAAGATTTCCAAGAATCCAACAAAATGCATGGTAGGGTGGGGGGGGGGGGGGGGGGGGGGATCCTTGCATGTTATATAATAGTTTCCCATCAAGAAAGAAGAATTAGGGCAGAATCCGATGCTATGACAGAAACCAAAGTTTGGTGTGAGAAATGAACCAGCAAACAGCCATGTTGGATCAGATTAAGGTTCTGTCTGTTCCAGCTTTCTGATCATAACGTGGCCAACAAGATGGTCCATGAGAAACCTACAAGTGGCTCATGAGTGTTCTTCAGTAACCAGCATGGAATGTGAACCCAGACTGTTTTCTTCAAGGCAGCTAGTTTGACAACCCATAGCTTGTACTAGGGGTTGTTGTAGTCGTGATGGGTTGTTGTGTTGCCTAAACCTAGGCAACCACCACATTTGGGAACTGGGAATTGCGCAGGAACTCACTCAGTAAGAGTGGCAGAAAGCCCTTGCTGCTCTGGCCAAGCTCAGCTCCAGTTCTAGTTGCCCCAGAAATGCCCAGCTGGCACTTTGCATTGCTGCCACTGGCTGGGTGCCCCTTGCTGGGATCATGAGCCCTTTTAACATGCTCTTCTCTCCTTTTGCGCCCCCTTTTTTCCTCCCAGAAATCACAATTTCTGTCTTGACAGACCCTTCAAAGTGCCCAAGTGGCTGTCAATGGTTGGGAAAAATGTGCTTACAATGTCTGTAATTTCTTTTTCTTTTTCCTTTTATTAGCCACACTTGTGCACAATGCAGAGTTATTTAGTGAGTGTAGGAATTTGAAACCTTGGCTGGGTAAATGTCATGTGAGATACTTGCTGTTAAAGTACCACTCTTGGAAATTTATTTATTTATTTATTTATTTATTTAAAACATTTCTATGCCGCCCCATTCGCCGAAGCCTCGGGGCGGCTCACAACATAAAATTAAAATATAATACATCCAAATATACAACCAATTAACAATATAAAATAAGTCGCCCTGGCCAGATAAAATAAGCAAATATTGTTAACAATTAAAATGATGTTTAAATAAAAAGGTCTTCGCCTGGCGCCAAAAAACAAATAACGACGGCTCCAGGCGGACCTCTCTGGGGAGCGCAAATTGCCCCAAAAAAATGCCAAACAGATTTTTTTTCCTTCCTCGACTGTCTCTTAGCAGTTGTCGAAAGATGTGTTGTCAAGAGAAAGCAAAGGCATATGAGAGCTTGCTCACAAAAGGGGGGGTGGCACGATTTATACCAGCTTTGCAGCAAAATTCTCATCTTTTTCCTTTTTGTCCCAACTGTCCTCAGAATACTACACATTTTGCACTTTCCGAAGTAGCTAGAGGCTTAAAGGAAAGTGCAAAAATGGATCACATCCACTTTTGGGGGGAGAAAATAATTTTTCCAGTGGATACCCCTGTCACAAAACACCTGCCACCCTGTTAAAACTGGCTTTTGACAAGGCAATGGGTGTTTTGTGACAGGAGCTTATACAGCCATCACAAGGAAAGAGGACTAAAAAGGAGAGAGATTTGCATAATATTTCCATATATTGATTCATATGTGTAAATGCAAATTCATTGTTGCATTAAATTAGTAATGGTTATAATTTGAATAGAAATAAAGCAGGGCCAGCTTTACCATTACACAGGCTGATGCACATACTTCAGGGTGTTGGTGGAAAGAGTGGGGAATTGTGCCCCTCACTCTACCAGCCCTCCAGACTGGCCTGCAGCTCCCTCTCCACTGACTCCACTGGGTTTTCTGGATTGCTTCCCCAGCCCCTCTCCTTCTGTAGCATTTGCCATCGTGTGGTGGGAGAGCCAGGGTGGTGCAGCACTTAGAGTGTTGGATTGGAGCCCAGGAGACCCAGGTTCTGGTCCCCTTTCTGCCAAGAAGTTCTCTGAGTGACTTCAGCCCTGTCACTTACCTTGCAGGGTTGTTGCAAAATAAAATGAGGTGTTTTATATGAACTGCCTCGGGTTCCTCACAGGAAAAAAAGGCAGACCAAATATAATCTATCAGTTGAGAAGAGGCAGCTAGCCTGGCTCTCTAGAGCTGCTTCTTAGCACGGATGGTGGTGGCCCATGCTACCTACCTGCCCTTCCCTACTTACCCTGCCCTTCAAATAGAGCAGGGGTGGCCAAACCAAGGCTCGGGAGCCACATGCGGCCCTCTGAGGTTATGTTGCAGCTCTCCGCTCGCTGTCCCCCCACCACCTGCAGGTACCTGCTTGCCCGTGGCTGCCCGTAGCCTCCCCATGGGTGCCCACTTGTGGCTCTCAAACATCTGACATTTATGGCATGTGGCTCTTCCGTTGAGCAAATCTGGCCACCTCTGAAATAGCGGATGCTTTCAAACAGAAGGTGGTTCTTTGGCAGCCCCTCAAACACAAGGCAGCAGAAAGGCATATGTGGCTTCAGTGGATGTACTTACCAAGGCTGCATTACATGTTCCAACAACATGGCAAGCGCAGAGACTCAGCCCTCTCGGGCAGCTCCGCCTGCTGCCTGTCTGGATGGTGAAAGACGAGCACATAGACTGCTGGGTATCTGTGGATGGTCAGGGCTCAAGAATGAGGATGAAGAAAGGCCCGGGTTGCAAGCCCACTATTAGGAGGGGAAAGGGAGTGAGACTCAAGTACCGATCTTGATAATTGTGGAAGCCTGCTCCCCTGCCTCTCTGTTCTTCTTGGCTTCAGCAAATCTCAGAAGATCTGCACAAGCAGCAGAATTGTTAGAGCAGAACATGTAAGATTCTGGGCAGTGCATTGCTGGAGCTTCTCCAGAACACACACACAGAGCGCTTGCACATTTATTTATTTATTTATTTATTTAACACTTTTCTATACCGTCCCATTATAGATGTCTCGGGTCTGTGCAGATGTCTCGGCTTACAACACCGTTAATAAAATAGAATAAAAATAGAAAAAAGAGTAGGAGTGGCCCAGCATCCAATATTAAGTATAAAAACACCTATTAAAACAAATTAGCAATTAAAATATTGGGAGAATAAAAAGGTTTTCGCCTGACGCCGAAAGGAAAGAAGTGTTGGCACCGGGCAAACCTCTCTGAGGATCGTGTTCCACAGTCGGGGCGCCACCGCAGAGAAGGCCCTCCTCCGGGTAGTCACCTTCTGGTAGTCCCAGAGGAGGGCCTCTGACTCAGATCTGAAGGGGCGGGAGGGCACATAGGGAAGGAGGCGCCCCTTCAGGTGGCATCAGGACTCATACTTTGAGACAGAGCAATGTATCCTTCCCCCTGTGACTTGCTCTTCCAACTGCTACCACACCCATAATCCCCCTGCAGGAGGGAGGGATGAAGCGTTGTAACAGGGAAGACCAAACTGGCTTTGTCCACATTGCCTCCCCATGTGATTGCAGTTCCCATAATCCCAAACCGTTGTCTATTTCAGCTGAGTCTTATGGGAATGTGGTCCAGACAAAGAATGACTGGACCATCCATCCGTTCTGCTTGCTGGACTCCTTTCCCACCCTTGGATCTGGCCAAGAAGTGAGGTCAGGTCCCCAAATGCTATCTGTCCTTTGTGCAAAGTGCATGAAGCCTGCAAGTCATGTACAATCTGTTGCAGTTAAAACCACCACCCTGACTCTTCTAGCACCATGAAAACAACAAATGTATTGTGACATAAGCTGCTTGACGTGCAGCCCACTTCATCAGATGCATGCAGATGGTTGTCAGCCGGTGCAGTTTTAATTTGCAAGACTATGTCTCTGAGTTTTCTAAGCTGAGTGATGTCTCTTCCGCCTTTCAGCTGTCAATGGCTACCTGTTTGGTAGCTTGCCCGGCCTCACCATGTGCAAGGATGACAAAGTGTCTTGGCATTTGATTGGACTAGGCTCAGAGACCGACATACACACTGTGCATTTCCGAGGGAACATCATCCAGCTGAGTGGCACAACCAGAGATACTTTCAGCGTGTTCCCTCACACGTCGACAACGGTGCTGATGCAGCCAGACCGAGTGGGTAGGTCATAACGAGTGCAACTTTAGCATCTTTCACCCTTTTGCCTTCTGCTCAGTGGAAATGCTTCTTAAATGCATTTTTAAAAATAAAGAACAGGGGGGTGGTTTAAACACAGCATAGAACTGATGTTGATTCAGGGATCATACTTTGTCCATACTCGGAGCCTCCACTTTGAAATCATAATCCCTCAGTAAGTTCAAAAGTTATGCATACCCTGGTTCCAGGCAGAGTGGGCCACAGGACTGCTTCTGTAGAGAACTTTTTTTGAAGGCAACGCAGAAGCTTCAGTTGGTTCCAGTCCTCACTGGGGCCAGACGGTCAGAGCATATTGCACCAGTTCTGTACCAGGTGCACTGCTTAACATTGCATGTCTGATCCCAGTTCTGAGTGCTGATTTTGACCTTTCAATGGGCCCATGTTACCTGCAGGACTGATTGATCCTCTCCTTGCATTAAGATCAGGTTCAGGTTCTCTGCTTGTTAGTCTGCCACCAAGAGTAGGAAGGCTGGTGGGCACTAGAGACAGGGCCTTCTTGATGGTGGCTCTAAACCTATGGAATGGAATTCTCTTCTGCAAAAAATACAGCTGCCCCATATTTGGCTGTTTTCCAGGTGGTTTTAAAAACTTGTCTCTATTTCCTGGCTTTTAATTGCATGTTTCAATAGTATTCTCTTCTAGCAGGTATTTTGAAAAGGTATTTTATTGAAACCGCTTTTCTTTGAAATACTTTACAACAAGCACAATTTTATTAATATGCTTCCTGGATTATTTGATGCTGTAAACTACCTTTCAAGAAATGGTCTTGAAAGGCAGGAAATTAATTAAATAAATAAGACAGATGTAGAAACTGATCCTAAGGCCCCTGAATATTATCTGGGCAGCCATAGGATAATATGGCTTACCAGAACTGAGACAGGAAAGAACTCTGACCTTAGAGCTGCCAATCTGAGCGCCAAGCTGCCAACCTCCCACACCTTGCACCTGGCAAGGAAAGAACCAAAATGGACCAGTTTCCATCTGAAGGTGGTGTCTACATGCCAGCCATTCATATATTGAACATGATGTACGGTTGTCAATCCATTGCATTATAGGAGGCAAGATCACCTTCTCTGTTTCCTGCTTCCTTCCTTTTCTCTTGTTGCACTTTACCATTGCAATGCCCTTCCACCTGACATTCGGTTCTCCCCTAGTTTTAACTTCAGGTCCCTCCAGTTAACACTGGCTTTTCCCAATTGAACCTCCTTCTCGTTTACTTCCCCAGTAACGTGTCGTGCATTTAACTTTAGATCGTAAGCCTGTGGTGAGCTTGTTTTCTCCAGTTTTCATCAAGCCTTCAATGTTTCGGAGTGCAATAATCAACAGCCTTTTGCTCCATCAGGCAGCATTGTGATTAAATGTCATAGTTTCCTTTCAGGAACTTTCCAGGTGGTTTGCCGAACATTTGATCATTTCATGGGTGGAATGAAGCAGCTGTATGAAGTTAAGCCCTGTGGCAAGAGGCGGCACAAAGGGAGGAAATATGGGATTATGAGGACCTATTACATCTGTGCAGAAGAAATGGAGTGGGACTACGCCCCTGACAAGAGCTGGGTAGAGAAGAAGTTGGAGATGGCAAGCAAAGAGAAGAGGTACTGACAAATAAGAATGAACTTCCAGGTCAAAGGGCAAGTTTTCCTGATGGATTCAAGCACTGCCCCTTCTAGGACAGTCATTTACTAATCACCAAAAATCAGGAAATGCATTATCACAAAAGAGGGCCAAAGAGGCTGCCAGTCTGCATTGTTTTTGCAGATGTAAATACATATGTATAAAAGCAAACCCAGAAAGCAAGTAATTTACATAGAAATAAAATATATCTCACCAATCATGGTAAATATTGTAACCAGGTGACCACCAGTGTGGGTGCTGTCTGGATGCTAAATTCTTGGTGAGCAACTTCACCTCCCTATCCCTGCTTCTTCTGGCTCTTCAAATGTAAACCAAACATTGACTTGCAACCCATCCAATAGAGGTCTCTGTGAAGTGGAACACCTGGTTACCTTTGCATTTCTCTCTTTAGAAGGTAAAATCCAGGAAGAACTCACAGCAGAGGTCAGCAGAAAAACATGAGTCACATCAGGGAATGATTGAATTTGGAAGGCAGAATATGAATTAGATTAATTAGAACAACTAGAAGTACAGGGCCCAACACAATTAGTCTGAAGTTCCATAAACCAGTGGAACAAGCCAATTATGTGACTAGCATGTCCCATTTCATTCAGTGGAACATGGCACCTAAGATGATGCATATTTATTTAGAAGCATGTTCCCCGGTCTTTAATGCAGCAGAGAAGATTTTTCTAAATGGAGGACTGTTAGTGGTATTGACCAAAGGACCTTGCACAGCTCTGTCCATCTTTTCCTCTTCAGATTTTTTTTCTGGTATGAAAAAAGATGGAAGAGATCAAAGGAAGACATGAGAGGGGGCCATGTGTGAAGACTCTTGCTTCCATCACATTTCCTCAGCTCGGCTCCCTGCATGCTGGCCAGTCCTCTCTGTCCCAAGTCTTCCTCACACTGAGCATTTGTGTGGGTATATGGCAGGAGGTTCTGCTTCAGCACACATGACTTGTGGGCTTTGGGTACTTTGCGCAAGACATGTGGACTTTGTACAAAGAAGCTGCTGTAGTTCCCGAGCGTTCATGGATTTGATCTCTGCTCAGCTTCTTGGGCAGGCCTGAGGTCAAGAAAGAAGGCCAGTGAGCACAAAGGGTCTGGTTTCCAGCCTGAACTTTGCCTCCCTGATGAGAGGGTTACAAATCGTGGATCCTCTGTGAATGAGGTCTGAAAGCATTAGAGTTTCATTCCAAGGCACCCTGGCCTGGGACTAAATCCTTCTGAACACAGTGCGACAGGCATCAGAGCATAATTCTTAAGAATGCAGTATTCATCCTTTCAGATCAGTCAGGGCCACATACGACATCTGACCTATGCCTTTCCTCTTCTGAGATCAACAAGGTGAAAAAATTACCTATCCAGCTATTTAAAAGCAGAGTTTGCATATTCAAGTAACACTGCAGTATTGTCATAGTCATCTTTCTTATTATTGTATGAACTTGTAAAAAGGTTTTGAACATTTAACTGTTTTCTTCTTTTAAAAATGTTTTCCAAGCAATGGAAATGTATTTGTGAACCGAACTGAAGACCTCATTGGTTCAAAGTACAAGAAAGTGGTTTACAGAGAATATGAAAGTGGAGAGTTCACAGAGCACAAAAAGAGAACAGCAGAGGAAGAACACTTACAAATTCTAGGTGAGAAACTCAACAGAACCACAAAAGTTAGTAGAGGGTCTGTTCCCTGAGAACTTGACTTCTCAATAAGTCCCACTGAATTCAATGAGATGTACACCCAAATAAGTCCATTTGCAATTGTAGCCTCATTGTAAGAAGAAGGGGAAGGGGCAGACACGGTCTTCCTTCCAGGGGATTGCTCCAAATACATAACTCACGTTATTGTATTAACTTTCAATTATTGTCAATTATTGTTATAAGCTTGCTGTTGGAAGGAAACAGCAGGGTGTTATCCTAGGCAGTGGCATGGCAAGGTTTGGTGTTTTTTTTAATCCAGCCCTCACAACCAGAGGTGGTTTAAAGGTGCGCTGAGTCTTACTGAATGGCTGTGGCAAGATACAGCTGACAATGCAAAGCTTGCCTTACAGAAGAATCAGTGAAATGCTTTTATCACTTCCTGGTTGTTTCTAAGTGCCTTGGTTCATTTTGAATTGCTGCATAGTGTTTACAAGGCAAGAAATAGTCATAAGGGGTATAGCACTGCCTTCTTCCGCACAGTACGAACCAAAGTTGCTTTGCGAGTCACTGCTGTTGTTTGTGAAAGATCCTCCATCGGTGGCACCTTCAACTCCCACTGCTCTCCAGTAGCTGCCCGTCAGGACTTTCTCTGCCCCGTTGCCATGGGATATGTATATCCCTTCTCTTCTGCTAATGTGACTTAATTGCTTAAGAGCGTGGGTGCATCCTCATCTAGGGTCCCTGCTTTGAGCATTCCACTTTGGGTGATGCTGCTAGGAAACCAGCCAAGTGAGAGAGCCTGGCTTTCTGACAGCATTGCTTTTCGCTTCTCTGACACTATCAAACCCCCTCACTGCATTAAGCTATGCATCCAAGAGAAGGAGCAAGTCAAGGACGGAACATTTTAGAGGGTTTTCCTTTGTAGAGTCACTGTAAGTTGGACACAGCTTGGCAGCATGTAGCCCAGAAACTGAGCTATGGGAAGAGGACGGGGAGCATGGGATAGAGTCACTGGTTTAGATAGGAACAGTCAGGTTTGGATAGGAATCCCATGCATGTTTGAACAGGAAAAAGTCCCACAGCACCTAGGATTGCCCAGCTAGGATGGCTGGCTGTGGATTCCTGGGGGTTGTATGATTTTTTCTGTCTTAGCATGCATAGGATCATGTCCTTACTAAACCAGGGTTTAGAAAAGTGTAGCCCTTCAGACGTTGTTCAAAAGACACTTAGATTATCCTCAAATATTGACCAAGATGGATGGGGCTGCCGAAAATTGTCTAACATCTGGAATGCCAGAGGTCTCCACCCCTGCACTAAATGCACTGCCATCTTCCTGTAAACCTACCTCCCAGATATATTTTCCCTGCAAGAGGGGTGTGTATGTGTGTGTTATTGTTGTTTTAACCTGTCAGAATGTGGTAAATCAAGCTTCCTTCCAGGAGATGGCGCAATGTAACTTCACTAGAATATCTTTCCATTAAGAGATGTTCTGTTCAAGCTAGGAATTTGGAAGATGTGTGTTTGTTAAGTAACTTACTTTAAACAACAAGGTCTTCTGGCAACCTCATGATGAATGCCTATATTCATATATATATGCATATGCTTTTGTGGACTATACTCCATCGACAATACTCGTCAAGTGTGAATATGTCATATATTTGATGAAGGAAACAGAAGTCCATGAAAATTTATGCTGTAACAGCCTTGAAAGTACCAGAAGATCCTTCATTGTTTTGCTGCGTGAAATTAGCAGGCGCCCATCTGTAAATTGGTATTCACTTAATATTTGTTGTGGTGCTCCTATAAATGAATGTTCTCCAGAAGGTCCTGTCCTTGTCCTACTCTACTCTTGTAAGCATTTATGTAATACATTTCATTAATAAAAATAGCTTCAGTTGGGGATTTGGAGTGCAGGTTCCATTTTGTGCAGGCTCCTTGTAAAACAAGATTGCAGAACCTGAAGTCCAGGGCTCCAATTTGGCCTTCCTGGGGTCCCATGCTCCCTTCCCCATGTCTCACGCCCTCTTCCTTGACCACTCACCATTTGACGGTTTCCCTGTTTTGGAGCAGTTTTCCCCATTCCAAAAGACTGAACTGCCTCTCTTAAGGGTGAGTAATTGGCAGTAAGAGCTTTATACTTTAATATCTTAGTATTTTTGATCCACCTTTGGTTTTACTAATCCTGGAATGTGACAAAATGTCTCCAAAATTGGATTTCACCCCCTGGCTGAACCAGGTTCCCCAATCTTGCTTTGAAAGGAGTAGGGGGTGTGTTTGTTGTATTTTCTACATTTCAATATGGCTTAACTCTCCAGAACAACTTCCTCTTGTTTTACTCAGGGCCCTTGATCCGTGCAGAGGTGGGCGACTCCATACTTATTGTATTTAAGAACAGGGCAAGCAGGGATTATTCAATTTCAGCACATGGTGTGGAAGAAGAAGGAGCTGGGAGGGAGCCACTCATCACTATGCCAGGTACGGGGTGCAACTCTGCATATTTCCAAGCTATGGAAGATGCCATTCTGTCTTGTCGATTTCGTTTAAGACTTCTGATGTAGTGCAGCTTAGAGTAAAACCTGTGTCCCTGGTTAGTCCCTGACCCAAATGAAAGATGGCATGCCCTGTTTTTTGCAACCTGTCAGATACTTGGCAAAACTTGTTTTTGTGGCCGGGAACACAAATGCAAGGAATACAACTGCAAGGAAAGTACTGGCTTGCCACTCCCAATAGTTTTGCATTTGGTGAAAGCTAGTTCATAAGATACAGCAGTGGTCCAACCAGTACACACACATGCAAAGGTCATTTCAATTTAATCTCCAAACCTATATTGATTTCAATTTAATCTACAATCCTATACCCACTTACCTGAACGTAAGCGACACCGCCCTTAGTGGGTTTAACTTGTGAGTAGGTGCAGTTGAGGAACAACAGCCTCCAAACTCAGAGGGTTGTGGTCATCCAGTGCAGGGTGGGGGGAGCAATGGAGACGATCTTCACCTACCAATCCTCCTGCTTTCCTGGCTGGGGCTAGATCCTGGTTTCTCTGGGCTCCTCCCCTTGCCACCCCCCAGAATGCCCCCTTTTCTGCTTCTCTGAGGTCACCTTTCCAACCTTGGAGAACAGGAAATGCAGGTTTTCCCATGCCAGCTGCAAGGGGGTCAGATCTTTGACTTCTAGAGGGAGGCTGAGAACACCCAGCAGTGCTGTTTGGACACAATCCCATCCAGATGCCCCTTACAAAGGATTTTTCCAAGACCTGTAAACTTTGAACCATAAGAAATTCTGTTTTTAAGATTAAATCCTATACCAAATTATCGAGTCCCATCATTTCATCAAATTTTGGATTTTGACAACATTTTGTTTCAACTTTATTGTTGGCTCTTTTCATGTATGTATGCACACCAGGAGAAATCAACACTTACCGATGGAATGTTCCAGAAAGATCCGGTCCTGGCGTCTCTGATCCCAACTGTATTACTTGGGTTTACTACTCAACAGTGCATTTTATAAAGGTAAATAGGGCATTTCAGGGAAAGGGGCTTGTTCATTTGTACCTGAAGGTGCAATTCTACTCATGTTTAGAGAGAAAAGGGTATTAAAGCCTTCGGCATTCCTGCCAAAAAAGTAGCTCAGACACTCAGGTCTTACAATGCTTCTAATACAGGGGTGTGGAATATGTGGGGCTCAGGAGTTTCCTTAACAGCAATTAAGAAATTTAAGCAATTAAATGCACCTATGCTCTAAAGGCTGTTTGTATTTGTCTCTGAAGGACCTGTCTCCTAGGGATACCTCTATTTGTGCATAGCATAGCATAGCATAGCATAGCATAGCGGGTGTATAGCCAAGAAAAGGAGAGGGCATTTGGTTCCAGGAGAAATATTTAGGCAGAAAGATTCAAGATGCAAAAGCAGGAGGTGAAGCACAAGTGGGTAACAAGCCAGATCTTTCTTTCTTTCTTTCTTTCTTTCTTTCTTTCTTTCTTTATTTATTTATTTATTTATTTATTTATTTTCGATTTATATCCTGCCTTCTTCCTACAACGGGCTCAAGGCAGCTTACATCCTTCTCCTCCTCCATCGTATCCCCACAACAGCAACCCTGTGAGGCAGGCTGGGCTGAGAGCCCGTGACTGGCCCAGAGTCACCCAGTTGGCTCCATGGCCGAGCGGGGACTCGAACCCGGGTCGCCTGAGTCCCAGTCCCAGGCTCTTGACCACTGCGCCACCCTGGCTCTCCCTGGGGATCAGATGCGGCACAGAATATCCGGGCCACTGCACTTCTGTCACATTGCATTCTGATGGGCAGCAGGGTGGTGGGGCTGATGAGAGCCAGAGATTCGGAGCTCCAGGCTTAGTGGATTCCTCCCCACCCCCTCCACTCTGCTTAACATCACCTCTGATGTCGCTGCCAGCCATGCAGTTTATGAAATCTGTAGCTAAGTTTTCAAGGTTGAATTGCGCAAAGCAGCATTTTAAGATTGTTTGTTCTATTTTTGTCTATTTGTTTGAGACAAAAAAACCCACTTGTGGAGGAAGCCCTGTAATGGAGGCTCTGCCTAGCCTCAGTGAGGCGTGTTATTTCAGTACCAAGCTCAAGGAGAGACATAACTATAAAAGCCTTGAAATACAAAAGGAGATTTGTATTTGCAACATATGGGGCATTCCTGTGACAAAGGTTAATGCATTCCTTTGGTAGAAATGCCACTCTAGAGATAACACCTACTGCAAATGCATAAATATTCTCTTTGCATTTTATGTGCTTAGATTTTTGCAGAAGTGATTCTATTTTTAATGTAGGCGAGGGACATGGTGTGTGAGCCTGTGTATCAGCCTTTCCCAACCTGGTGCACACCAGATGTGTCTGACTATAATTCTCTGCATCCTTCCGCCTGCCATGTCGGGAGTTGTCCAGCACATCTGGAGGGGGTGCCAGATTGGGAGAGGCTGTTTAATTGCAAGCTCTGTGTTCAGTCACATTTACTGCCATAGAAGCGTAAACTGGACTGAAGATTTGCAGAGCAATCCTAAGGAATCAAGTGACTCATCACTGACTATTTCCAAAGACTCAACATATCATGCCAGCCAGGGCAGGAGGTCAAGGGGGCTTTACTGAGCTTTTCAGTATGGTAAATCTCAATTTTAGGAATTTTCCTCCTATTGAAATTAATGGGAGTGGGAACTACTAGCACCCAAACTGAGAACTTCTAGAGATCCCTGGCATGCCGTGTTTAAGTGTTTACCACCAACCCTGCAGGCTTACCGAAGATTACAAGGATTCCACTTGTCCCAGGCAAAAATACATGTTTACCCCATCATTAATTTTAATGTTAATGTTAATTTTATATTATTATGTTTGTATCTCAGTGTATTTTTTGTATTTTTGTATTTAATGGTAATTTATTATGTTCTATTGTATTTCAATGTATTTTATTGTG